TATATATATATATATATAAACCGCTATCCCAACGTCAGAACCGCTATTTTAAATCGCGGCAAGTGACCGCGATAGCTGCATAGATCCTAACCATGTTATTAAGTTCCATTATTTTTTGAACTCCCTGCCATGATTCAATATCCGAAAATAAAGATTTAAAATTTGTTAGTGTTGTGCATTTATTTCTTCTTAAAAGCCGATAAACCATATATCACATTTATATAAACGACGTGCTGCACTTTTTTGTTTATATATATATATATTGTTTCGACATGATCAATGGAAAACAACATACATGGTACCCACAAGATATCTTAATAGCCCACTGGTTAACACACAACTTGCGGTCTCCCCTATTTTCAGTTTACCCCTCCAACGTTACTCTAGTTACCAAATTACTTTTTGTAAATATACAAGAAAAGTCCCCCTACTTATCTAAGCTACAACAAGGCATTGTTTTACCATGTTTGTATTGTTATCTCCATTTCCAATCCAAAATTCATAATTCTAAAAACTTACGTGATTAAAACTATATCTAGCGATGTATAGTCATAAGTTCTAAAAATTTACATGATTATGAAACTATATCTATGATATATATATAGTCATAAGTTACAGCTAATAAATAGATATCAAAATATATAAATCATATCCATGATAAAAATTATGGTATCTTTTTTTGGAAACGACAAATATCATTAAAAACAAACATTCACAAGCATGAAGCTAAAACGAAGCAGGAATACAAATACAATGAGAAAAGTAAAGATAATAAAAAACTAACAAAGGAACAAACTAAGAAAAAAAGTGAGAGAAAGGCGAAATACACCGGTCGGTCCACGCTCCACATCCATGATTGCTTCTATGCTTATACCAGACATAGGAAGACAAAATAATGTTGTCCGCGGTTTTTGTCGTTGGTGCATCAATTTTCTTAAAAATCTTGTCATTCCTCGCAAACCAAATATTCCACATGAGACAATAGAACACCAAATTTAGAATCTCTTTTTCTCTAGGACAGTTTTCCCAAATAGCCGTATAATCAACGAATTCCTTAACATTTAAAAATCTTCTACTTTAACTCCCCACCATTTAAGGATCCAATCTTGTACCTCCCGAGTATAGTCACAAAAGTAATGAGGATATGATTCGTTGATTCATTCTCCTTGTTGCATAAAGGGAAAATAATATTTTTAGTGTTAATACCCCTAACCATCAAAGCATTAGCCACGTGGATTCTAGCCAATGAAACTCTCTAAATAAAGCAACTTACTTTCAAAGGTATCATTTTAGACCAAAAGATGGACAACCATTTATACAAAATTAATTTAGATTCTAACAACATCCTCATGACATGGACAGTGTATTCATCATTGGGGTTCATAGTGAATTCGAAACCATATTTGGAAGTTTTCACAAGTTATCAAGGCTATGAAGCTAAGAGTATCCATAATGATTGATTTAATGGAATGTTTCAATAAGTTGGGATGACTATTTTTCATTCAATATATTAACCTCAACTATAGTAAAATGTTAAATTGGCAGTAAAATATTTTGGATCTTAATGCTCATTGAACTATTAAACAAAGAAAAAACTCTGTAAATTTTTAAATAATTGTTGAACTGAAATTTATAAAATTCAATATATTTAAAAATTAAATGATAAATTTATACGAAAAATAGACCTTTAATATAAAAATTCATTAAATCTAATAAATTCGATACATTATGGCATGTGGATGGCCTAAATGTCAAATTTATATTTGATTTTCGCATTATGGAAAGTATTAAAATATTCTAAGTTAAAGTAGGCTTATTGAAAATAACAAAACTACAAGGATCGGAATGCAAATATGCCTCTTTACTCCCTATGCCAAGGGCAACCGTCAACCGGCCAAAACGAATAACGAGACCGCATCTGACTAGACCGTCCTCGGAAATTCAACTGACACGTGTCATCGCAAGTGGATTAGCACGTTAACGATAAAGACCAATCCAAGTGCCCCAGAAACATTAACTGACACGTGCCCATATACACTTGATCCGGAAAATCCAGGTCCTGAGAATCCATTGACGCCTCCTTCCCCCACCCACTCTCTCATCCGCCATTTTCTATTATAAGACATTCCTCATCTCAATCCAATCTAATCCATTTCGCTAATCTTTTTCTCTCTCCTTTCTTCACTACTCAGTTAGATCTTTCTATGCATCCTTTTCCGATGATCCCCTTCAGAATCTCAACAATCGGAGCTCCGATCAACCACCACAACCACCGGATATGTTCAATCCATTTCTGGTAACTCACGTCCGCTCACAAATCTGTCTTCGCAAACGGAAAAAAAAAAGTTATTGATAGTAGATCCAATCAACCCACATAGACATATAATCAAACGGATAACTTTCATAGCATAGCCCCAATTCTGGGATCCGGGTTCTTGTTCTTTGCTGTTGGTCAACGGCCTGGTTTGGGGTTTGATCTTATTATTTCTAGTAGCTGAATTTCTGATTTGATTGATTAAGAAGACTAGTAGCTTAGTTGATAGTAGAAATTACTGAATAGGATTTTTAGTGATATTGTTATCGGGATCGGACGAACTGCGAGAAAGTGGCGAAGATGAGTTTGGGAGTGGCGGAGGATGATTCCAGGACGGAAATTCATCTCCCAGCTGACATTGATTGGGAAATGCTCGATAAATCCAAGTTTTTCTTCCTCGGCGCCGCCTTGTTTTCTGGCGTTTCCGGTACGTTGTACCCGACGGTGGTGTTGAAAACACGGCAGCAAGTGGTTGTGAAAGACACCCCTTGCTTCAAAATGGCGATATCGATTCTCCGACACGATGGTTTGAGGGGTTTTTATAGAGGATTTGGAACGTCGTTAATGGGTACTATTCCGGCGAGAGCTCTTTACATGGGTGCACTGGAAATGACAAAGAGTAGCGTTGGTTGTGCGACGGTGAAGATGGGTTTTACAGAGGCCAAAGCGGCGGCGATTGCGAATGCTGCGGCTGGAGTAACCGCAGCCATGGCTGCACAATTAGTTTGGACACCAATCGATGTTGTGAGCCAGAGATTAATGGTTCAAGGTAGTAAATCTCTTAATACAACCGCCATGACTGGTTTCAAATACACCGGCGGCATTGACGCGTTCCGGAAAATCATCCATCACGACGGCGTTCGAGGGTTATACAGAGGATTTGGGATTTCGATCTTGACATACGCGCCGTCGAATGCAGTGTGGTGGGCGTCTTACTCCATGGCCCACCGCTCGATTTGGGATGGGATTGGTAATCATTTGAAAAGAGACGGAAACGGTGGTGGTGGAGGAGGGGTTGGGTTTACGCCGGATTCGAAAGCTGTAGTGGCGGTGCAGGCGGCGAGCGCCGCCGTGGCAAGTGGGGTTTCGGCGTTGGTTACGATGCCATTGGATACAATTAAAACGAGACTTCAAGTTTTAGACGACGGATGTAATGGGAAGCCGGGAATAGGGCCGACGTTGAGGAAGTTGATGACGGAAGGTGGATTGAGTGCGTGTTACAGAGGATTGGGGCCGAGATGGATTTCGATGTCGATGTCTGCAACTACAATGATTACCACCTATGAATTTCTCAAGAAATTGTCTACTAAAAATCAAGATTCTTGTGGATCCCTTCAATGAAATTGACAACTTACTTTCTTAAGGATGAATGTTGTATCATCAAATTTATTATGATTTTTTTTTATATGAAGAAAAGTATGTGATGGGATAAGCATTCTTTCTTTTATAGAGAAAAAAGTTATGTTTGGTAATAATAATGTTATATGATCCTTATGGAGCAAAGTTGGTAATATAGTGATGTAAGAAGTGTATATATGGGGCTTAGTTTGCTATAATATCTCCAAAGACTTCCCTCAAGACTTCCCTCATTCTCAATATCCTAACATATCTTTCGTTTTACCCTTTTCAATTTACTATCAATATAATCATTATAAATATATACAATAAGTAAACATTCGTTTGTGAGATATGAACACTGTAGCTAAAAGTTTATGCACCATGTACAAGAAGTCGCTGGGGTAGAATTTAATCTTTGAATTGTTTTGATATTAACTTACATAAATTGTCCTTACAGTTTTACGTTTTATTAATAAGTCACCCCCCACTTGGAAAACTTTTTTTTTTCACTTTTCACTCTTACAACCCAATTAACTTGCCATTTGCAACATTTTTTCCTTCTTTTTTTCGTTTTTTATCCTTATAATACATATGTTATTAGACAAAATTGCAAGTTTGGTCCCTGTGGTATGTCAAAAATTTGATGTTTGGTACAAAATGTTTTGGAGTTGCACCGCTGGTCCAAAAAAGTGAATTCTATTGCAGGTTTGGTCCAAATGTTTTTGGAAAAACTAAAAAATGACTGATTTACCCTTCATATTTTGTTTTCTTATTTTTCTTTTATTGCATAAATTAAAAAAAAAGACAAAAAGAAAATACCACCCATACACACACACACACACTCTCTCTCTCTCTCTCTCTCTCTCTCTCTCTCTGTGACATCCCCAATTTTCTCGGCAAGAAAAGACCGATTTAGTTTATGCTTTTAAAATAAAATCAGAGTAATCTTTTTAAAAGGTGTTATGGAATTTGTCTCCAAATCAAAACATGATAAAAATTTATCAAAACATTTCTTAAAAAAATATATATTTTCATTATATATCAAAACCTCGGGATGTCATGTTTCGATACAGACCAAAAGCAAAAACAGTACATTATAAGCCTTACAACAGATATTTACATCTACTGGCCTATAATCCAAAAATCATTCGTCTGTGCTCTTGTTCCACTACATGTAATATAAAAAGCTGAGTGGGCCAGATTTGGGAGTCTGGTGAGCATATAGGGTTTTCAACCCACAATAAATAAATTTATTAATTTTCATCAATCAACAATAAATTTATTAATTTCATCAACCAACAATAACCCTGATTACCCGTTCTCGTTATCCTCACTTTATGTCTCTAAACACCTGTCGTAAGGGACCTAACCTAAGGATCATCATCGGGGTAACAACACTGCTTAAGGGATACTTCTGCAGTTTCTTAAGGTTCCACCCTAAGAATCCTCTATCATTCACTCATTCATTCCAAAGGATTGTCCTAAGGAATAGGCAAAAAGTCCATCGTTGCCAATAACACAGCGGCCAACGTTCTCTACTAGGCACAGCTACCAATAATATCTATTAGGCACAACTGCCAATATTATTATTTAGGCACAGCTGCCAGAATTATGACATTCTCTATTAAGCATGGCTGCCAATATTATCCTTTAGCCGCAGCTGCCATGATATTTAGATTACAACTGGTGAATACTTAAATCAAAATACATGGTGAACACTCCGTCCACAAATACTTAATGAACACCTAGTGAACACTCAGTTTCAAGAACATCTACAGGTTACGAGCCTGTTAATGTTCCACTGGACTGTGTAGAAAAGTCCATGGTTGACATTTATATTCTGTTAGATAACTTGGAACATCATCAACATCGAGACCTCTCATCATTTTATTTCATCACACAACAACTATTTCATCTACCCATGTTATACCCAACATATTCGTAGATAAAAGTACATATACAGTTTAAATCATTCTAAACATG